AGTCATCACTAACTAAACTTTCTGTGGGATTTTGCACTGCTTATGTTACTTGAATCAGCAAAATAGATTCAAATTTCTTTAAACAAAACAATGGGAAAACAGCTTTTAAATGATCATGAAAATCAATGAATTTTCATCATTGTGACTTCTCTCAGCGAAATGTGCTTAAAACAATTCTGAGTGGCAGGTATTGTGCTGAGTGTAAGGGTGCTAATAAAGAAGCATATGACATGCCTGGCACGGTGGCACACACATATAATCCCAGCAGCTCGGGAGGCTGAGACAGGAGGATCGCGAGCTCAAAACCAGCCTCAGCAAAAAGTGAGGCACTAAGCAACTCAGTGAGACCTGTCTCTAAATAAAATACAAAATAGGGCTGGGGATATTGGTCAGTGGTCAAGTGCCCCTGAGTTCAATCCCTGGTATTCACCCCCTGCCACAAAAAAGAAGCAGGACACTTCCCATCTTTAAGAGGCTTAAAAAATAGATAAGAGATGAGCCTTTTAGATGAATTAGGAACCAACAGAAGAAAGAATTTTAAAAATAATACTAATATGGGTTGTGTGGTATAATAAAGTTCATGAAGTATAAGGACCCACCACAGCAGCCCAGAAGAGTGGCCCCAGGCTCTTCCTTCTGCTTAAAGTTGCTAGCTTACAAAGCAAGAGAAACCTTTAACGAAACCAACCCTATTTCCTGGTCACAAATGAATGGAACATGAAGCATGAGCCAAGACTGCCATAGTACTCCTTCATATGAGACAGTGACCACCTTTTTAAGTTTGAATCAGCAACGTGTGAAAAAGACTAAAGTAGAATCGCTGGGCCTGATGTTGAATAAGGAGTTACAACAAGTTATTATTTCAGTTCTCCATGAGGACTTGTGAAACTTCCAGTGTATACAGTGTAAGCACAGAGGGACTATTTGGCTGCTGAGCCAGTCTTCTGTGCTTCTTCAATTTCTACATATCCTATAGTAAGTCCCTATTATTTAAGGTTCTCCTTAGAATCCATACCTATATAAGAAATGCTAATAAATGTTTTGTAAGTGACCAAGAAGGACTGAAATGCTCAAATATGGTATGGTACTATACCTAGAATACATGAAATACCTGGAAAGAGGGAGAAACAAACATCTTTGAGGCAGGCATATATCTACCTGCAGCTCAGTTTCTCCTCTTTTATTATGCAAGTGTTTGAAATAGATGAAAAGATACTTTCAAGTGTTTAGTCTTTATTTATAGGACAGAAAACTTAAAAATAAATAAATAAAAATTTCCAAAAGTAGGCATCAATCTCATTTGAAAAAGAAATATCAAATGAGTAGGGATATATTGGCAAACAGACATTCAGAGCCAACTGAATCAAAGAAAATCCATTCTTTTTGTTGTTGTTGTTGTTATTATTGCATTTTAAATATACGTTTATTTTATTTTTATGCAGTTCTGAGGATCAAACCCAGTCCCTTATACATGGTATGTAAGCACTCTACTAATGAGCCACAATCCCAGTCCAAGAGCCCATTCTTAATAAGAAACAACCCTAGAAAGATTTTTTTTAAATCCTTTCTCTAGATATTGCTACATGAGAAAGAAGCATCTAAGGGTAAAATTAAAATTTTTATTGAAATGATAGACAAACTAATGTATTTCCCCACCTTTCTTCTCAATGTTTTCTTTTTTCCCCTCTCTTGAATCACTTTCTTATCTAACTTTACTTGAGCTTTTCTGAATATTTTTGTTTCATGCTCTTGAAATTATTGTTATATTCTTTAACATCCTCTCCCTCTCTAAAAAGACTGTCATAAAAACACATTAAGAAAAAAATATATTATTTAGCTTTTTTCTTATTCATGTTATCAGTTATGACACGTTCAAAGTGACTTGGAAGTTTGAGAAAAAAGTTATTCTCCATCCCCAGCACTCCAAATCATATTAAATGTTTTAATACATTTAAAAGATAAAGGGAAAAGACAAGTTAGTTAGAGGGAAACAAGTTATGAATACTAAGGTAGAGGTAAAAACACTTAAAAAAAATCGAAAGAACAGAAAACTTTTTGGGCCTTTGTCAAAATGTCTGGGTATATAAGCATTCTTTCTTGCTGACCTATACCAGGAGCTCAGTAGTTATCCAAGAGTGTGTCTACATTAGAGAAATAATGTCAGCAGCTCAACTGTAATGAGATTAAAGGGTACAGGAATGTCGGGCATGAGTGAGTGTAAGTTTGGGAGAGACTTTGTTTATTAAATAATGGTACAGTGAACAGTCAATGGCTACTTCTACTTTTTCCAGTTATTAAAACATTTAAAAATATATATTCAATATAAAAAAATATGGCTTGTTTATTGGCTGTGTTATTAATGTCCAGTTCCTGCAAAGCAGAAACTTGAGGCTTCAGAAGTTCTGCATTTGTGAGTTTCCATTATACTAATTTCTGACAATGAAATTAATAACCTAAGTGGGAGAAAAAGTCTACACCCCCCCTGCACAAGTAATGCCACTTGCATTTTAGGAAAGTATTTTAGAAAAGACCAAGAATGACAAGAGCAAAAAGAACAACAAGAGCAAAAAGAACAATCTAGGTATTTAAGAACCAAATTCCTGTCTCATGACATAATTTAAAGTCATCACAATAAAATTAAATCCCTTTCTCCTACAGTTAAGAAAAAATGCAAGACTATTGTTTAGTAACTCTGCTATCTGGGTCTATACTTACTTTTTCTTTAACATAAAATGCTAAAAAGTGATAAATAACCAATTAGTAAAGGAAAAATCTAAACAAAATGTTGAGACAGTCTCAACAGTCTGCCTGAACATCAAAGGGTAGGAGTGGAAATCATTAATTTTCTAACAGTACTTTTCACAGTAAACTAATGAGAAACAGCTTTTCCTACATGCTGGAAAGTGCAACTTGTCTATTTGAAAAAAAAAAAAAAAAAAGAACTCTGAAGGGATGGGAGGGAAAGGGAGATGGCACAGGAAAGAAGGTGGAATGAAATAGACATCATTATCCTAAGTATATGTATGAAGATTCTAATGGTGTGAATATACTTTGTATACAACCAGAGATATGAAAAATTGTGTCTGTATGTGTAATATGAATTGTAATGCATTCTACTGTCATATATAGCAAATTAGAATAAAAAATTATTTAAAAAGAACTCTGCGCATCTTCTTTTATAAAAATATTTTTTCTACTAAGAAATATTTTATATCTATTTTTATCCCTATTTTTATATCTATTAAATATAAAAATATTTTTATATCTATTAAAATAACTTTTTTTCTTCCCCAGAAAAATGCTACTAACCATGACTTCAATCCATGGTTTCACAACTGTTATTTCTTATACACATTATACTGCTTTCATCAACTAATAAAGTGTCCTGAACTATTAAACAATGAAAGAAAACTATTTGACTACTTGAGTGTTAAAAATATTATTCCGTAGTAACCTCCATAACATACATTTTAATGCATTTGTTTTAACATCCATCCGTCTCCACATAGTGGTAGACACCTTTTTTAAAAGTATATTCCCTCCCCATTTTAAACAATTATATCAATAGTAAATACTCATCAGTCAATACAGTTGAAGTCTTGCTGAAACCCTGTTCTTAGCTGCCCTCTTGCTGCTAAAAAGGAACTTTAGAAATACACAAACTGTCTGAGTGAATAAGGTGAACATAAGGAATCCAATCAAAAGGCAAAGATCATGAGATTCCATGTCTAAAGAATTCCAGATATCTTAGGATATCTGAATAATAACTAAAAATATATAAAACATTTTATCTCCCTAATCTACAAATGCCAAAATTTTTTGCCCTAAAATTCTGAGCTGCTAGATATTTATAGTTTAGGAAAAGAATTACTAGTAACTGAGAATTTTAGTAATAGTGAGTAGCAACAATAATCAGAGAATCAATTATTTATTTCTATTGTTAGTATAAACTTACTTCTAGCCATATACATCCCCTCATATTCTTTTTTTTTTTTTTTAAAAAAGACAAAAAAAAAAAAAAAAAAAAAAAAAAGGAAGTAGGGTTAAGTTAATAAACAATTACAATAGAAATAAATAATTGATTCTTTGATTATTT